CCCTCTTGCAAACGTCATAGTGAAATCGATTGTATACATGAGTTGAGTGAAGAATGATTGAAAAAGGCTGCAAAAAATGTTTTCTTTTTTTGACTATGTGAGCGATGTGCTACCCCCAAAACAGGTAAAAGCGTGTCTATCCAACAGCACAGTCTAAGGCAAATTCCAATTTATGAAGGAAGGGAGATTGGGTTTAGTCTTAGCCATATCTATCATAGGGCTCATTTTTTGTACACCTGACTTTGAGGTCATCTAGTACAGTTCTCTCAATTCATACTCAGAAAATGTCAGAAAGAGTTTTCTTGACTTCACGCACATCAGCTTAATTAAGGGAAAATGATTTGTTTGAGATCTTCCTGTGTGAATAGTAGGACTGGGATTACGTTTCTTAGATAATATATCTTTTATTTTCTGCCCCTTCCCTGCCCCCAAATTTTGATTATAGTTTATACATTCCCGTGATTCAAAAGCATGATCTGATTTTTTTCTCCCTTTGGTGAGTGTTTGTGACACCTGCATTTTTTTCCGTATCTGCTCTTCTGCGAGTGCTGACTGTATAACTTGTAAGTTACAAATTCTAACAACCTTTAATTGGATGATTGGAATTTTATGTTGGGCGTCAGAGTCTAGCAATAGCTCCATAATTCTTTTTGCAAGTACTTTTTTTTTTTAATCTCAAGATATCAAGTTACTTTAACTTTCAAGTCATGTTTCGTAGGTTTGCTAGCCTAGGAGCTGGTCTTGCATGGGGAACATTTCAAGAATCTGCCAAAAGGCTTGTGTTTGGTACGTCTACCACGCAAGACAAACAATCTGCTCTTTCCCCATTTTTATCTGAGAAAAATGCAGACCGTTTGGCTCTTGCGTTATGTAGAATGCGTGGAGCAGCTCTTAAATTAGGACAGATGTTGAGCATTCAAGATGAATCTCTTGTTCCTGCTCCGGTAGGCTTTTTTATCTCCCCTCCCCTCTTCATTTTGCCCCTTATCTGCACATGTTAGACACGTGTTAGAACTTTGTTGACATTTAACAATGCAGTGCATAATTAATCTGAACAGGTGTGTCCTACCATCTATTACAATAACTATAAACTTCTGTAAACTAGCGAAAACTAAGTCAAATGTAGCGTTTGATCAGCTGGTCTTTACACCATCGCCTCAATGTGTAAGTAGCTTTGATCTTTCAATAGAGATTGGAAATATTGATAGTGTGTATTGAAGTCACATGGAAAGACATGTTGGTTTAGGAACGGCCATGGGAAGGATGTAATGCTGGAAAAATGATTCTTGTAGAGGCTAGTCTGGTAATTGTATTCGGGATAAGGTTGCATGGCTCTGGTCAAAGGTGCTTGGAGGAGGATTACACCCAGAATGTGGATTGAGGTCACATGCAAAGACATGTTGGTTTATGAACCAGCACACCTAAGGCCATGGGAAGAATGTAATGTTGGAAAAATGATTCTTTATAGAGGCCATGAAAACTTTGTTAAGTTTTGAAATGCATTCTAGAGCGAACAGACTATAATGGAAAACCTTGACAATGAGTAGGGAAACTTGTTAGAAAAATTGGAATTGAGAAGAAGAAAAAGAAACCAACAATAAGAAGAACAGAAGAATTCTTTTAAAAAGCATCACGATCAGAGTTTTCAGAAACTGATTTATGCGGGCAAATGAGAAATGTATAAATACACCATAAAAATTGGTACAAATGCTGATGCAACAAGGATAAATGAACTGTGCTAGAAGAAAACTTTGTCCCTGGAATGGACTCGAAGGCAATTTTAATGTTTGGTAAATTATGCCAAATTTTTGTTATGTCATTTATGCACTTGTTTGTCCAAGGAAGTCTTTCTCAAAACGCTATACATTAGCATCATTTTTCGCAATGATTAGACAGCATGGAAACAATAGTCATCCAACAACCACAATACTGTTGCACAAGCTTGAAGCATGGATCAGAATCTGCATCCCTATTTTCTGCTTTTTACCTGGTTGTTATTTAATGTCAACGTAGTTGTGACAGCTCTAATGCCCTTGTAGATCTTGGCTGCTTTGGATATTGTCCGTCAAGGTGCAGATGTGATGCCAAGGAGCCAGCTCAATCAAGTTCTGGATGCCGAATTAGGTCCTGACTGGTCATCTAAGTTGATGAGTTTTGATTATCAACCAATAGCTGCTGCAAGTATCGGCCAGGTGAATTTTTTCCCCTTTGTCATTTTCCAGTTGCTACTTTCATCCACTGTGCAGTGTCATTGTTCACCTTATATATTCCTAGGGATGGAGTATGGCTTCATTATAAGTAGTATGTAGTCTGACTTTTATAGTTCTATTCCTCCATGTGATGTTAAAAGTGTCACTATGGACTTATGAAGCAAATAAAATATTTTTATTTATCAATGCATTAGATTGTTGATAAACTAATGTTTGAGTGATAATATCATCAACACAATCCCTCACGTCACATGAGACCAGATTCCCACCACGAGCGTGCCAAGCATGTGCAATTGTGATTTCTAATTTTAACTTTGAAGTTTGACATTAGGAATTGAGGGAAAATAAAAATGGATACATCATGTGATGTAGATCATAATAGCTCTAATACCAAATTGATGTAGACTAGGAAGAGAAAGAATTAGAGATAAAAGCGAAGAAGAGGATGAGAAAAAGAAGAAGAAATGGATTAGAAAAGAGAAAGAATTAGAGAAGGAAGCAATATCAATATTCAATAATAATCAAAGTTTAGTGTAAATAAAACCCTTACATGCATCCCTTTATATAGGAAAACTAAAATCCAAAAACAAATAAGTAATGGTCTAATGACAAATAAACCCTTAAAAGTTAAAAGAAATTACTTAAAAGATAAATATTAAAAGTATCTAAATAACTCTCATAACTAATCTATAATATCTATCCAATTTCTATACAATCCCCATCATTCTCCCTCGGTTGAGAAAAACTCTCATCCGGAGAGTCTTCAAAGTAGAAATACCCTAAAAGAGTAGGATGAAGATGACATAATGCCTCATCTTAAATGAAAGAACCATCAACATTTTTTCATCGATCAGGATAAATGCAAGGATCTCCATCTGTAGCAATGTAAATCTGGTGGTGTAGCACATCATATATTTGTCCCGAAATACGGGATAAAAGTAGAAAGATAAGAACTAGAGCTAGTAGTGAGGAAGAAGCAATTCCACCTGTAGAAATACTGGATAACAAAAGAGGAGGTTCTGGAGTACCTCGATTAAGTAGCATGTCCTCTAAATAAAAATTTGGATTAATACTAACATTCAATGAAAAATTAAACAAATAAGCATTAGATCCAAATTCAAGAATAGGAAAACAATTCCCATCAGACTTGAACAACAAGCATTCAGTGAGATAAGACTTCAATGATAAAGGAGTAACAATAATGTCTTGGTGCTGAAAATAATTAAATACAACCTCAAGTAAATACTTGGCAGTAGGCAGAGGAACAAGGTCAACAATCTTAGATTGGAAAGAATCCGTAACAAAGTCATGATGACTTGGACTAGTAGACATAGAATGGTCACTATTAGATTCTGCAATAAATGACTTGATTGGCTTAATATCTTGCATAGGTGTACACTCAACAGACTTTTCTACAATTTTTAAGACCAATGATGGTTTAAGAATTGACACAAGCAAAGATTCACACACACTTTCTTTTGATATGAACTCTTGTGGGGGCAAAAGAGAAAGACTCTAATCTGATGAAATTGAATGAGGGAGTTGAAAGTCAATATGAGTAACATTTTTCTCTTTATCCAATACTAGCATATCTAAATCCTTTGTCACATTCGGATTAGGAAAGCATGCAGAAACAATATGAATATCGTTCAAATAATCATGATACTCATATGCGGTGGAATTAAAATTGTAAGATATCCTGTCACGCTGTTTAGCAAATTGTGATTGAAAACCCATCAACCTATAGTTGGATTTCTTATAAAATTTCTCAGCTTTTAGAGCATATCGATAGGCTGCAACTAACATATTAAAAATATATTGCTTGACCTCCCTACTAATTTTTTGTCTCAACTCAAGAATAAACTGATCAACTGTCCAAGGTTCATCAACAATGTCACACAAGTACATGAGATAATCAAACTGGACAAAGTAATCAAAGACACTAGAAGAATGTTGTCTAAGATTGTGTCATTGGTCATAAACTTGATCTATATAGGAAGTAGGTAACCTATCTTTAAATTTATATCTCATTTCAACTCAAATGATAGGTGATTCTCTTAAGGGGTTTAGGCTTCTTTAGACAGGAAAAAGGCTTCTTTGGATTGTTTGTCAATACTGCTTGGTGGAACCCTCTAACATCAATTTAGCAAACTGGACGTAATGAAAATTTGACATGTCATGCCAATCAAATATTCTTCTAAATTAGCTAACCAATCCAAGAATTCAAAAGAATTTAAAGTGTCACTAAATATAAAAGGATCTTTGACTAGTGTGGTCATATGGGTTGACTCCATGTAAACATCCCTAGACTTCCTATGATAATGACCTCGACGAGAGACTCTTGAAACATGTGTATTAGAAGAACTCATGAGTGACTCTTGAAAGATGAGAATGGTATAAGAACAAATTCAAGAATGCAATTGACAATTTCAAGAAAGTTAAATAGAAGAAAATGTGTTTTAGACCCTTTGTAAATTCTCTAATTTTTCAATGAATAAAAATATTAGTCTCAGATTCTATGGGAGTATGCATACCATAATCAAGAGAAAATTCTGAAATTTTTTAGGATGACTCTGCAATTTTATGGATATGTTGGGAATGTTTCTGTAATTTTAGAACTTCTGGGAAAAAATTTATGTAATTTCTGGAATTTCTAGTGGTGGTTCTGCAACTTTTGAAACTTTCTGGGGTGTTTCTGTAATTTTTGGAACTACTGGGATGTTGCTGCAATTTTCAAGATTGCAGTGACAGTTATGTTTTTTTTTTTCGGCTGGTTATTTTTATTTTTTTATGGCGATGAATAGTATTTTTTTGATGAACAGAGAACAGTTCGCGATGAATAATTTTTTTTTTTTTTTTTGTGATTTGTACGAATCGAAGTTGGGCGCTGATACCAAATTAATGTAGATCGTAATAACTCTGATACCAAATTGATGTAAGTTAGGAAGAGAAAGAATTAAGAATGAGAAGGAAAGAAAAATGGGATGAGAAGAAGAAAAAGAAAGGGATCAGAAAAGAGAAAGAAGCAATATCAGTATTCAATATTAATCAAAGTCTAGTGTAAATAAAACCCTTACATGCATCCCTTTATATAGAAAAACTAAAACCCTAAAATAAATGATGGTCTAATGACAAATAAACCCTTAAAAGTTAAAAGAATTTACTTAAAAGATAAATATTAATAATTAAAAAGTATCTAAATAATTCTCATAATTAATTTATAATATCTATCCAATTCCTATACAATCCCCAACATCATGAATATCAACTCCCTACTATAGCTGTTATGTCAAATTTGGAACTAAAGATTAATGATATATAAGTAAGCAACACTATGCAATGGAACATTTTCTTTTTCCTGGGAAAGGAAAATGCAATGTTAAACACAAAAATGTCCAATAAGGCATTGAAACGAGGAGTAGAATATGAAAATGATCTTAAACATGCGCAACCTTGACAAAATTTAAGAAATAGAAATCCCCACCTTCCACTGAAGGCCTATGACCTCCATGGACATAATCATTAGTTTTTGTAGCTCCGTGCTGCCTCCTACAAAGTGTAGCCTCCTTGTGTTTTCAGAATGGATGTTGGGTTTTCTGTTTGGTTTTAGTGATTGACTCCCTTACTTGCCATGTGTGCTCCAATTTTATAAGAATATGTGGAAGGCCGATTCTCCATGCTATTCGCTTTGTAGAGCCGCTCTAATTTTACATTTTGAAATGATTTTCAGGTGCACCAAGCTGTCACTAAGGATGGTTTAGAGGTTGCAATGAAAATTCAGTACCCTGGCGTTGCAGATAGCATCGATAGTGACATTGAGAATGTGCAGTTGCTATTGAAGTATACAAACTTGATTCCAGAAAAACTATATCTTGACAATGCTATGAAGGTGAAAAATGTGTGCATAGGAAGCCCCGACGTTTGACATTTTGCTTCTTAGAAGCATTGTTGTTCTTATGTGACTTCTCCATATGTTTTCTTTGTCTTTTTTGGCCTTTCCTTTGGAAGTGCATATTGGCAAGTTCCAACGAGTTCAGCCAGATAGATTGGGGAGCGATGTTTTTTTTTTTTCAGGTCGGATGGTCTCATGCTATTTTTTGTGGCTCAAAGTCAAAGTTTGGGCCAAGCTTGGGCTTGCCTGAGGATGATTAGGGGCCAGCCTTATTTTGATATGTGTATCGATATTTGATTTTATTGTTAGAGAGGAATGCATACAGTTTTATGGCCCTTAATAGCACACAATGGCCAAACAAAATTCATGTGGCCGACCCTAACTAGGTGGAACAATATTTTGTTGAGTTGAATGGAACATTGTGTGAGAAAAGCTTTGGTTTTTGGTAGAAGGCTCCTAACACCAAATGTTTGTTTGAGCATTATTGCGCTACAGTAGGCGGGAAAGGTTTGTTTGGGTTATTTGATGGGAAAAGAGGTGCAAGTCAAGTTGTAGGCTGGTTAACACATGATCTACCCAGGATGTAAATTTTCAGCCCATTCACCTGAGCCTCTACTCAGTCTACTTCGCATTGGTGCTTTTTTTTCTCTTTAAATACATGTGGGCCAGCCATCTCAAGTGGCTAAGTTTCTTTTTGTCTCCATTTATGTTACCTTCGATCTTCTTGGGAATGATTCATCTCTTTTTTATATGCATCTACTGATGTTATATTCTACATTCTCTTTTTCATGTCGGCCTTTCTTATCATGTTATACTTTCAAAGAAGATAATACCTTGAAATTCTAGATGGCAGTCAAACTTCTGTGATTCAGCCCCATGTGTAACAAAAGCACTCAGAAACCTGCAATAAATAAACTTCTTCATCATCTTTATTTCCATGCTATCCATTAAATGGAAAAAGACAGCATTTTCACTTTCATGCCATGTTTCCCCACTGTATGTACTCAGAAAGACAAAGTGATGTTTTTGTTTATATTTGTCTGTACCTATGTATGTATGCATCAACAACACTGACAACTCATGTAATATTCTTTTTTTTTTGTTCCGGAACTCTTTATAGGTGGCAAAAGAGGAATTATCTCGTGAATGTGACTATAAGTTAGAGGCAGCAAATCAGAAAAGGTTTCGTAATCTGCTATCCAACACAAAAGGATTCTATGTTCCAATGGTGGTGGATGATCTTTCTAGTAAAAGAGTTTTAACTTCAGAACTTGTTCCTGGTAATTGCCATATATATTTTATGTTACCCTTTTGAAAGATCATGAAGTTAATGATAATCTGATCATGAAGCTTTTACTTTGATTGAAAAGGATATTTCTTTACATGTCCGCATACAACAAATTTTTGGTAGATAGAAGCATAGTTGTTAGTATCATATGATACATAAGATACGTTTTGATACACAAAGAAAATGATACGTATCGCTTAAGTGTATCAGTTTGCACTGTATCATGCGATACACAATATGATACACCCGATACAAGACGATACATACAAGTTGTCCGATAAGGGGCGAAATAGATCAAAAAAAATTTCTTTCAATTTTAACTGGAAAACCACTCCTTTTCATTTGAAAGTAATTTTTTCAAACACTAGTAATAAAACGATATCGTTTCACTATCTACAATTTTAAAAAATAAAAGTCTTCTTTTTTATTCGTTCTATCACGGGAGCAAATAGTTTAATTGTTAAAAGTGTCATCTTTTGGCCACTTTAGATGTTAGAATTAGAACTCTCTAAATTTTGATATTAATGAATTATGTAAGAAATTTTAAGTCTTAGATTGTTAATTTTTTATTTTGTTTCTTGTAATCTTTTTAAATTATTTTATGTGAGAAATTTGTGGTGAAATAAAATATTATTATGAAATTTTGTCATACCATATATATTTTTAATTTCTTTTATAAAACTACACGAATCTTATGATATACCATTCTTTATAATATGCGTTACACTGTTTTTAAAAAACGATAGGCCTTCCGATACACGTTTTGACAACCTTGGATAGAAGTTCCATATATGTGATTGATTACTTTTAAAAGTTGGTTACCCTTCAAATAAAGTCTATCAATGTTCATAAACTTTATGAGCCCAGGCTTGGATAATGGATTCCTGCAAATTCAAGTAGTAATTCATAGACTAGGCATAATTTTTTCCTTTTGAAGAAAATCCATGCTGTTGGCTCAAGTTGCTGCAATTATACTTACATGCCCTCTTCAGAAGAAAAGCCATGCGTTGGTTCATGCAGCTGAAATTTTCATTTGGAAATTTCAATATTGTATATGGATATGATTTGTGGGTATCAACTAGCACCTTTGTAAATATTCTGAACAAGTTTAGTGGCTTTAGCCCCAAGTTTAATTCATTGCCTATGATGGTTAATAAGTAATCATCAGGGTCTCCAAGGCTTCTACCCAATGAGCCACTAATTTTACTCGAACTGAGAATCTAGCATACAACCTGCTTTGGATAGCTCTTCTTTGTTTTCTAGGTTTTCTTTGTTTACGAGGTTTTCTTTGTTTCCTAGGTTTTCTTTGTTTTCTAGGCTTTATAATTTAGCAAACACAACTTTGTTAGCCAAACTAGATTCTTCCTTATGAAATATTCATGTATCAAATTGAAAATTTTACAATATGTTGTAATTTTCTTTTCTACAGGAATTCCAATTGATAAGGTGGCTTTACTAGACCAAGAGACTCGTAATTATGTTGGGAAAAAATTACTTGAGCTTACATTGACGGAACTATTTGTCTTCCGCTTCATGCAGGCAAAGTTTTCTTCTCTTACTTCTTATATCATGTCTTGTTTTTATCTGATCTGTCCTTAAATTTCTTGTTTCACATGGAGTTGATTTAACATGGTGAAATTACATTGAAGGAATTGATACTTATGAGCATTTTATATTAGTGGGTAGAGTTGTTTGCAGATGCATCTTCTTTTCTTTTTGTTTTCATGTTTTTTTAGTTTCTGGTCTCATATTGGCTTGCTTGACTTAATGCAGACCGATCCTAATTGGAGTAACTTTTTGTACGATGTGGCTGCAAGATCAATTAATCTCATTGACTTCGGAGCAGCTCAAGATTACCCTAGAAGTTTTGTTGATGATTATTTAAGAATGGTGAATTATCTTTGCTTTACACTTGATTGCCATTGAATATCTTTTTTTATTTACTGCCAAATTCACACACACACGCACACATGTATATATAGGGAAAACTTCACTTTACCCCCTATAGTATACCCAAAATGTACTTTACCTCCCTGCGTTTTAGAAACCTCCACATAACCCTCACATGCTTAATGGATTAGACTGCAATGCCAATGATTCCGTCCAAGTTGACAGTGCGTGTGGCTCACTCTCTATTCTGGCAACTTAGTAATCTAATAAAAGGTCTCTCTCCAAAAATGTCAATGACAGAAGACCAAACCATCCACACTATGCCAATTAACTTGCAAAACCCTAAAAAAAAATCCAATACTTAACCCTGAGAAAGTTGATCAACTGGAGTCTTCCAGTGGGTGTATATGAGTACATAAAGCATCAGTATGTGTTTGTGCATGAAATCCCAAGATAATTAACCTTGATTTCCCAAATCTTTCAGTCTCAGAGCTACCAAAGTGCAGTGAATTGACCACTATAAGCAAAACCTACGTCGAAAATCCAAATCTATTTCATATAAAGAGAGAGAGATATAAAACCGAAACCGCCATGGTTAAAGAAGCTTCGTGTAGGTGTTGGAGGTGCTGATGCTGCGGTGAACGTTAGACAACCCGTCTCCATCTCTTTCTCGCGCTTGTTCCCCTTTGGCATCCCAAACTCCTCGTCTTCGGTTATGTAGAACCCAGATTGGGCGTCTAGGCTAAGAAATAAAACGGTGTCGTCTGTGTTTGATTCTCAGTAGATGATGGCTGTAGTAGCGGCTGTTTTTTTTTTTGTTAAGTTGTAGCAGCGGCTGTTAATAACACGAAAGGGAATAATAACTATTGGGGATATCCTGGGGAATTTTTCATATTCTAGGTTGGATTTTAGGATTCATCTTAATTGTCTAGTGAAGATGCTTTGAATTTATGTTGTGATGTGCCTTTGTTTAGGGTGCTGGTAATGATTTTTACACAAGGAGTTGGAGATTAGGTTTGTCAGAGGAGGAGAGGTGGGGGTTTGCTGGGAAGAAGAAGGAGAGAGGGTAGTTAGGTCATTTTACACTTTCTGTTAACAGTGTTAGCAAATCAGTTTAATCCACAAACCATGTGAGGGTTATGTTTATATTTTTAAATGTGAGAGAGGTAAAGTGCGTTTGGGGTAGGGGTAAAGTGAAGTTTGCCCTATAATATATTCTATACGTGTTTAAGGAAAGGAGAAAATTAGTTAATTAATTCAGAGAAAGGGACAAGTGCCCTACAAGATCCGAATATGCCAATACGATGACATATGAGATTTGAATTTTAATAGTACGAATTTGATGGACCTGATTGACTAAACCCGAAATTGAGGTTTCTGTAAGATGTTATTTTGAGATAGAGTAGCAAATTTGGATTTGAAAAGAAATTAAACACTGACTATCATAAGTTTCAATCATTCTAAACTTGGATATATAAACCTTGCATCTCTATTCACAGCAGGAAAAGTAATGGGAACATGTCCTATGAGATTTGTATAATACAAATTTGATGGATCTGATTGCCTAAACCCCAGTTTGGGGTTCCTATAAGATGTGTTAATACAAAATAGCAAATTTGGATTTGAAGGAGATCAAACTCTGACTTTCATAAGTTCCAATTATTTTAAACTTGGATATTATAGACCTTGCTGTTTGGAGAATTATAGATTATATTAGTAGGGAGGAAATCATTTCGCTCGGAAAAGGACATGATAACAATTGGTTCAAATCATTAACATCTGCCAAATGTGCTTCTATTTACAGTGGGAAAAGTCTGATACATCATCTCTAAACTAAAGCAGAGCATAAAATCAATGTCTAGTTAAAAAACTATTAGCTACTGTTGTACGTTAGAAACCAACTTGTTTAGTAATGCAGCCAACCAAAACATGAGTTTTCTGTAGCTGACGTAAAGTTTGCTTGATTAGTGATACAGTAACCTGAATCATATTTGCTCTTGATTATTAGAAATAAAGCCCATGACATGACACACTCACAGGCATTTTTTAAAATACATTTCCTTGCTGTGTTGCACCTTTATGTTGTAATCTTTTGGTTAAAGCACTCCAGTTCCAGATGTTTGATTAAGATGATGTTCCTTTGGCTATAGGCATATAAATCATAGGTTTTCTGTTGAACTTTTAGCAATAAAATCTGAAATTTCTTGACCTTGAAACTTCTTGCACCGAAAAATATACTGACTTCATTCATTATTCAATCAGGTTCTTGCTTGTGCAAATAGTGAGCGAGAAGCTGTGATTGAAATGTCAGAGAGACTTGGGTTCCTCACAGGAATGGAGTCGGAGATAATGTTAGAGGCTCATGTTCAGGCTGCTTTTGTCGTGGGACTGCCTTTCTCAAAGCCTGGTGGTTATGATTTTCGCTCCACCAGTGTCACTCAAAGCATTTCAAACATTGGGGCAACAATGTTGAGGCACAGGCTGACACCACCACCCAAGGAGGCCTACAGTCTTCACCGGAAGCTTTCTGGTGCTTTCCTTGCTTGCATCAAGCTTGGGGCTGTTGTACCATGCAGGGAACTTCTACTTGATGTGTATAAAAGTTATCAGTTTAGTGAAGATGGTGAGATATTGCCTACTGCTTCAAATTCGCAATAATGGTGCGGTTAACTTACTCATTTTCATTCATTTTGTTCATGTGACAATTGATTGGATGCAATCTGGCGTTACAAGAATTGTATTTGTTGGCTCTGTAATTGAAGCAAGGGATGTAATTGATTGGTCACTAGTGGTGTTTTAGGCCTGAGTGTTTCCCAAGAAAGGGATGTATTTGTTATTTTTTATCTAAATTTAAGTATTACGTGATGTATTTATAATTAAAAATTATTGGCAAATTGGACGATGTTTACTTGAGGGACAGGACAATATAGAAATATATTTAATACTTTAAGAATTAAAATAATGTAATTGAAATATTTAAAACTAAAATAAAATATATTCAATACAACCCCTTCTAAAACGGGGTGTATGCTTCATCAGAGGGAGAAACAGAGGCTTGGGAAAAACGATGAATCATTCAGCAATGCCTTATGAAGTCTTTTTTAGGACAAAATTACAGATGGTGTACCCTTGATTGTTTATGGGTCACTAGTAACAGTGACTGAAGTGATGCCAATTGATGGGCTTTTTTTGCAAATTGCTGCTTGCTGACGGTATTGATATGATATCAGCATCACACCATCACACGGGAAAAAGTCTACCGTAATTTTCTTGAACAATCTAATTTTTATAAGTTATAATTTCCATGGTAATATTTTTTATTGAATCATATATTTACAAATTAAAATGTACATATCCACAAATTATAACTTGATCTTAAGAAATTATAATTTTTGATATAGCACCTTAATCTTTTCTTATACACAATAATTACTAATATTGGGAAAAATGCACCAATAGTCTCTAAGGTTTGTTATTTATTACACTTTTATTCTTAAACTTTTAATTTCTTCAATTGCGTCCTCAATCTTCACACATTGACTCACTTTGGTTTTTACTCTTGACTTCCATTCAAAAAGTGACAAAAAATGTCACGTGTCATGCACACGAGGGTATTAAGGGATATTTTTGTCATTATACTCTGTGTGTGCGCGCGCGCGCAAGAATCCATGCTAGAATCGACCGCCACCGACGACGACCACTCAACCCCAGTAATCTCTCTATCACACTCTCACTCTCTATCTCACATCTCTTTCTTCACACACACACAAACACTCGACACGCACACAAACTACACAAACACACAACTCAGCATAAAGAGAGTAACAGAGAACACATCACAAGCCAACCCAGTAAACCTACATACATCACCACAAACTCGCTCCCCACCACCACTATACTAGCTGCATCTATTCTCATGTTTCAAACGGAATTTTAGAAAACCAGACACAATTCAGAAGGGAGATCTATAGAGAAATTCACAATCAAAATTCAATTGAGCAATACCCAATTCATACCTGATTCTTCATCTATTCAAAACCCTTATTGCCACCACAACAGTCGGCAATTTTCTCGACACCGGCTTTGACAAAAAATACATCACTCATGTACATTTCTCTCTCTCTATTGTGTATGTGTTTATGTTAGAGTTTAGATATGTTGGGTTTTTGGATACACAGTAATGAGAGAGAAAGAGAATGATGCATGCGTATACGAGAGAGAGAGAGAGAATGATGTCTACCTATGTGAGGGAGAGAGAGGAGAAAAAAGAAAGAAAGAAAAAGATGAGTGTTTGAGTTCATGTTTAGTGTATACATATAAAGGATAATTGTGTTTTGATGTATAAATAATAATAAAATATCAAAAATATCTTTCAAAAGTTGCATGTAAGAGACACATGATATTTTGTGTCTATTATTTAGATGGAAGTTAAGGATGAGAACTAAAGTGAGTCATTGTGTGAACATTGAGAACAAAATTAGAAATTTAAGAATAAAAGTACAACAAGTGATAAACTTGAGAGATCCTTAGTGTAATTTACCCATTAATATTTGATGCCTAATACTGACGTAATACCACCAATTAATTATAAAAAATCAAGTAAGCAAGGTTATTAGTTGATTGCTTTTATGGAGAATTAATTTTTATTTTTTGTAAAATTTATTTATTTATTAATTTTGATACTGTTTACTACGTCAGCTTTGTAACATCAGCTTTGTAACATGATATCACCGTCCTAGTAAATATTTTTTCGCGAAGAAGGAACGCCGGTCCAGAGGCCATGCTGGATGGCTATTCGCCTCCGCAATTCTCCTCGTGATTTGCCGAGGCCACCAAATGCGTCATCTCTCTCTCTATCACTCTCATGACAACATGCCCTCCAGAGTTGCCCTTTCCACAACCAGAAAAGCCATCGATATACCAAAACAACCAATTCTAATTCCGCCGTTGTTGCTTTCCAACAGAAGCAGAAGCACCACTTCAACTACTCCCCTCTCGGTCCTACCCTCCCAATTCTCGGACCTGAGCAAACCAGCAGTCCAATTCACTGATGCACATACCCATACCCAACACTGTCCTTCTAAACTATCACATCTCTTTTACAGCAGCAGCAACCTCTTCTCTCGTTTAAGATCACCGCCCCATCTATCTGAAGCTAGAAGATTACATGCTCTCCTGCTCGTTGGTGCTTTCTTCCACCCCTCAACTACTGTTCACAGAGCGTTGGGCTCCCAACTTGTGAACGTCTATGTCCAATTCGGCCGTCTCGAGGAAGCACTCCTTGTCTTCCATAACTTTCCCCAAAAGTCCAATGTTGCTTGGAATGGCATACTCAGAGGCTTTATTGACGGGGGCCAGTTTTCTCAAGTAATTGAGTTGTATCACCTGATGCTCACCCAAGGCATGGTCCCCGATAATTTCACATATCCGCTAATATTGAAGGCTTGTTCTGGGTTATCTGCTGTTGAACAAGGAAGAAAGGTTCAAGAATTAATCCAATTCAATGAGAAACAATACAATCTAAAACCCAATATCTATGTCTACTGCGCCATGATTGACATGTTTGCTAAATGTGGCAGTTGGAGCGAAGCATGGATGTTATTCGAAAATATGCCCGAGAAAGATTTAGCTTCCTGGACTGCAATCGTATGTGGGACTGTGCACAATGGGGAGTCGCTCCAAGCAATTCTTTTGTTCCGAAGGATGAGAGCACAAGGGGTAAGGCCTGATTCGGTGATTATGGCAACTGTTCTGCCGGCTTGTGGCAGATTGGAAGCTAAGCAAGTGGGAATGACCTTGCAAGGCTGTGCTGTTAGGAGTGGCTTCCACGGCGATTTGTTTGTTTCCAACGCTCTAATGGATATGTACTGTAAATGCGGGGACACCCATGAAGCCAGCTTAATATTTTGCAGCATGGTGTATAAGGATACAGTGTCCTGGAGTACCTTGATTGCAGGTTACTCGCAAAACTACCAATACCGTCACAGCATTGAGCTCTATCTGGATATGATTAGTTCGGGTGTACGAACTAATGAAGTCACCGCGGCAAGTGTACTACCTGGATTTGCCAAGCTCAAACTGTTGAAACAGGGAAAGGAGCTGCATAACTATATCCTGAAACAAGGTTTCGAATGTGATGTGGTGGTGGGGAGCACATTGATCGATATGTATTTTAATTGTGGATCGAGGAGAGAAGCCGAGCATATTTTTGAAAGCATGTCAGATAGGGACATCACAATATGGAACTCAATTATTGCGGGATGTGTTTCCAGTGAAGATTTTGATTCGGTCTTTAGGATCTTTCGAAGGATCTGGAAGTCCAAACTTACCCCAAATTCCATAACTCTGGTGAGCATCCTTCCTATATGCGGCAAAATGGGGACTCTTAAATGGGGCAAGGAAATTCATGGTTGCGCAACTAGAATGAGTCTCGGAATGGCCGTTTCTGTGGGAAATTCTCTTGTAGATATGTACTGTAAATGTGGATACCTAGAAATTGGAGTCAAGGTCTTTCATCAGATGATGCAAAAGAACGTTGTGACATATAATACAATCATCTCTGCTTATGGGTTCTACGGTTACGCAGAGGAAGCTTTACGTTTCTTCCATCAAATGAATGCCGCAAAAATAAGGCCAAATAAAGTCACCTTTGTTGGACTCCTGTCGGCTTGTAGTCATGCAGGTCTAGTTGATAGAGGCTGGTTTCTCTACAATTCCATGACACGAGATTATAGGGTGTTGCCAGACATGGAACACTACTCATGCATGGTGGACCTTCTTGGTAGAGCAGGACAGCTTGTTGATGCTTGTAAATTTATCGGAAGAATGCCAGTGGAAGCAGAATTGAACGTATTGGGGAGCTTGTTAGGTGCTTGCAGAATCCATAACAAGGCAGAGCTTGCTGATTTTATCGGGAAGCAAATTTTCGAAAAAGAGTTGGAAGATGATTCTTCTGGCTATCACGTCCTTCTGTCCAACATATATGCATCCACCGAGAGATGGGAGGATGCAGCAAAGGTCCGAACTATGATTAAAGGAAAGAGCCTGATTAAGATAGCCGGAAGGAGCTGGATTCAGATTGGTTTTGGCATTTATATGTTCAATTCTCGAGATACAATGCATCCAGAGTTCAACAAGATCCAACAGATTCTGGACAGTTTGCTCTCGGAGATGAAGAACAAAGGGTTGTGGTACACGTTGTTTTCCCATTATCATGTTGGTTCTTGAAACCTGAACTTCTCCTTATTTAAATGAACTTCTAAAGGACGATGGCTCTCTCTGGAGGATCATACCATCCCACTTATTGCACAACAAAAATATAAAATCCTGCCCCATGTGATGTGAGGCCTTATTTTAGGGTCCGGTAGGGGGAGTCCATGGGTCATCGAATTTGGATTCACGAATCAACACCAATTGGGTGTTTTGCTAGTAGGATGTGGGTGGGACTTGGTGTGGAGTCTACAACATTCTGAACTTTAAGCTCCAACTTAATGCCAACAGGAGTGAGTTATCAATACCATATTGCAAAATTTAAAAAGAAAAAAAGTTACCCTTCGTAGGACTCATTTCCCAAATCTCTGAACTTATGTTGAAAATAGTCAGGTGACAGCTTCACAAGACACGCATGAATTTCTTAAGATGGGGCACTGCATGAAGCA